CTTAAAGATTAGACTAGTTTAGTTTAAGCAGATTGGAGTTCAGTCTCATAAAGTAAGCAACTTGTAATTTGAGCTATGATTTGCTAAGCTAAGAGCATGCGCTAAGCATGCTAAACCAAGAGGAGTCTTCATCTTGATATCTGTGCTCTGATCGAACACCACAGTCTGGTGAATATCGTCTACTTTCACATCGTCTGTTTCGAGTACTTCGAATATCGTCTCCTTCGAATATCGTACATGGTCTACTTCGAATATCGTACATCGTCTACTTCGAGTACTTTCACAGACTCAGCTTCTAGATTCCCATTTTATAATGGCTAGAAGCAGAGAGAGCGGCTTAGAAGCTAGATATTCAATCTAAGAACAGAAAACTTCCCACCTGTTTACTGATTCAGTTACTATTGTTCATGGTCACACTCTTCTTTCGAACACTGTCATGTTTGATTTTTATACTAACACTATCATCATATTCCTGACCTTTACAGTTATTAACCTGAAAACTATTCTGGTTCAAAATGCCTAATAATACGTTGTCAGGCTTTTATCAGTAGAATCTTTGGCTTCCAGAAACCTCATTAAACATTTTACAGTTTTGTGTTTCCTCTTGTTTCAGCATATCTTGCTGTCACAGACATTTATTTATTCCTCATGGCTCATATCTGGTGTGCAGATGATGGACTATAGTTTGCCTTGACTACTTTACGTTTGATGTCATCTTTAATTTTTGTTATAATTCAAATAAGAATTTATTATTGAATATTTTTTTTTTCTAAATAGTGAATTCGTTTGCTTTATCTTGATCCTCTGTATATACCTTTTGTAACAATGTCCAAGTGTTTTACTCCTTCGAGCGTTACGGGTTTAGCCCTGAAATTTAAAAGTTCTTCAAAATGTCATGAATAAGTGGTATTTTCTTGACTTTAATTAAAAAAACTACTCTCTCACTTTGTACCTTGATTCCTTTTCTTTCAATATACATCCAAACCGAAATTGGATACGTTAAAATCTAGCAGAAAATTTTCATGTGTAATGAATAAAGAAGCCAGCCTTCTATACGGAATTTACCGGTCGTAACGCTGAGAGGGTTTTTGCAGGATATACCTTTAACAATAAGTGAAATTGTCCAATTAATTGAACAAGTTGCGGAAAATTCTCACTCCTTTTTTCAAATAACTCGTTGATGGCTCTGCTTTAAGTTTAGGAAAGGTATCGAAAAACTGTCATTAGTGTCTTTCGAACCACTCCCCAGTATGTTCTTTGGCCCTCAGTATTTTCCTGTACATCTACATCAGCGTCTTTGCTTCCTTTTAATCTTCTTTCGCTTCAATTCATTGGTTACATCAGAGATTCTCTACCATGGAGAATTAATTACCAGGGAAGACTTTCATAGTTTCGGGCGGAAGTGCGGTCAGCTTTTTTTTTTTTTTTTTTTACCTATTTAGTTTTATTTTATGAATATATAAAACTACTGTAGAGTCTCACTTGTTTAGGTAACATATACTAAGTCAAGACTCGGATGTAAAGATAAGCGACTTATTGTTATATCTAGATAAGCAAAAAGAGTGTATGAAAGATGTAAAAAACTCTTTTATTAAGAACTCAAATAAGCTGAACAGAAGCCACCCTCTGTGCTTACAAAACAGCCAGTATTTATGAGCTAAAAATCGAAAAATAAAATTTTAAATTAAAAATAAACCTGGGTCTTATTTAGCCAAAGCCTACGCAGAGAAATTTAAACCCGCAAGTTTGCTTTAACCTATACCAGCGTAACAACACTATTTATAAGAATAAAGCAACGCCGCAGACAGGATGCTATCATAGAATATCAAGTAGTAACGTGGCCTTTAGCAGGCGGAATACGCTCTGAATAAAGCAATGTCAAACCCTCACTTAAATAAACGATAGCTAAAATTTTTATTCTGGCAAGAAACGTAAAGAAGTAAAAGTAAAGATTCGTAACATAAAATAACTGGTTAATTAACCTTGCGTTACTTTTACTCAAGCTTTGGTAATTATTAACATTTTCTATACTTTTTTGTTAATTTATGAAACACATTGTAAAATAATTTAAATTTAAATAAATGTTTATGTAATTTTCGAGTTTTGAAACGGGGGAGATGTTCGTCTAGCAATGGTAAAAAGAGTACATGGAGCAACAAAGGTTGAGAATCCCTGGTTATATGCTTTGATATGCCAAACTACTGTTTCATGTTGCTTCAGATTCTGGTGTCTATCTGTATAGCTATCTACCTATATTTTGAACTCCGCCGTTCAGCGAAGAGACAATTTTAAATCTTGTGTCGAAATTGCCGAAACAATTGGTCAGACATCCGCTCAGTATATGCAAACATAAGGCTGAGAACATAAACACTGATTAACCGCACTCGGCTGAAAATTTGATTATCCTTATTAACGAACCTACTGGTCCTTTGTTAAATATATAAAGTAATAAAATTAAGGAAGGAAACCATATATAAGGAAGGAAACCAAAAGTTATGCAGATGGAAAAAAGACAATATAATTTTCTTTTGTTCTTTTGCTTTTTACAAATGTGGACAAGACATACTATAATCTTTACTTGCTCTTAAATACCTGCTAATTCACTCGTGTAATATGGCTAATTATTTATAATCACAATACCTTCTTTTTCAATAATATATTTAATAATTTATTGAAGTGCACCCATACACTTTGTATTGTAGAACTAATCTTTCGCTGGAATTTTGGTTGCAAATCCTGGTTTTGGTTGGATTTGGTTGCTCTTTTTTTTTGTGGCTAGCGCATCGCGCAGCAGCACCACAGGTCCGAGGTTCGATTCCCGGTTGGGGAAGGCCGACTCAGCCTTTCATTCCTTGATTTCCATCACTTGGGTCTATAAAATGAATACCAAGTTCGCTTGGGGACTAAACACTGGGGGTCCTGCGACAAGCTGACCACTTGTTCAGGGCATATGCTTACGCACCCCAGGACTCACGGTCAAGAAAGCAGATTTTCGGGCACTGCAGGCCTTGGCCCATTAGGGCTGTTACGCCACTGAGTTTTTAGTTCTTTTTTTTTGGGGGGGGTGCTTTTTTTATTTGGATTTGGTCATTTATTTGGATTTTATTTTTTATTTGGATTTAGTTGCTGTTTTATTTGGTTTTCGTTGGATTTGGTTGCGCAAATTTTGGTTGCTTTGCTCTAATAATTGAAAGTAATGGACATTGTCAAATATAATGTTTAGCATCTGCTGGATGTGCATCCTACATACCACATCCTACATTTCTTCTTAAAAATCGCTGGAAATAAGATGGAAACTTTTTATGATTTATTGCTAATTGGACTAGGAGGATATTGGGTTTTATTCTTGTAAGAGATACTTGTGGGAAATGAGTTAATCTTCCTGTACCTGTCTCGTTCTATCTTCTTTGCCATTTTATTAAAACTTTTTTTTAGAAATATTTTTCTTCATTGTAAGTCTTGAAACAGGAAGATGGATATCAATCATATCTTTCAATGTGGCTTTCTTAGCTGCTATATCAGAAGCCTCATTCATTCCCTATTATACTTGTATATCCCCGTATCCAATTTAGGCTGATAGGACGAATATTCATTTCTGTATTTATTGTTTCTTGAAGAGTTTGAATAAGTAAAGATGTTTTCATCGTAGAACATAACGCACAACGCCTTTAAAACACTTTTGGCTATCTATATAAATGCTCGCATATTGTCACTTGTTACTTTTGAGAAAAGCATTTAGCCAGAAAAAAGGCTTCTTTCAAAGCTATTGCTTAGGCTTGGTAAATTGTGCTTGAATCATTTAGTCTAAATTAACTTGCTTGTCCTTGTAAGTCATAAATGCAGCTCCAACTTTAACTTGGATCTTTGATCCATCTGTAAAACATCTGTAAAACCATCTGTAAAACATCTGTAAATCTGTAAAACTTTAAAATTAAAAAATCTTAAAACTATGTCCTTTTCTTTGGGAACGTTCGTATGCCAAACGATTGGTAGGGACTGAGCTGGGTGTTTGCTCAATTTTGGGACTTCTAAATAAGTTTCAATACAGAACTTGGAATATTTAATTCATCTACAATGCAATTCTCTTGAAAGTGAGAGAGACGGAATAACTTTGGCTGTTTTGATTACATAGTAGTTGAAACTTGAAGAGTAGTTGTTGGTGTAGTACAAAACGTATTAGTTATATGCAGTAATACTATTCATTGAATTTGTAGCAACTTATTTTTTTGTTGTTCTTAGTACCTTATTTGTTACTCTTGTTGCAACTTAACATAACAATCGCATACTTATAATTCATTTGTTGTAACTTACAACAACTTCGTAGCAGTTTATTTTTTGCTCTGTTTTTAGTATGTTTTTCCGTCACGATTCCCAGCACTCAGAAGATTATCAAACGCCATTAATACTTCGAATTTAAGCTGCAATTTTTATTCATATTTACAAGCCGTATAAAATTTCAAATTCATACGGCTACACATTTTTGAGTTATGCGAGATACGTACATACATATACTACTCACGTAAGACGTCACGAAAAAATGCCTTAAACAAAAAATCGTTCAAATGGATTCGAGAGCGGTCAAAGTAGCTATTTTAGTTGAAATATGATACCCGAAATTTTTCGCGATTACAATACTTCCTTTACTTCGTACAAAGAAGTAAAAAGAACACTTGATTAATATAAACTAACTAAAAACATACTTGAAATTTAAAAAAGTATGTATCTTATCTTATGCACAACTTTCTCAAGCGATGTTTTTTAAAGAAATTAAAAAAAAATAATCAGATGCACAGAATTGTGTCAATTTTATTAAAATAAATTGTAATTTTTGGAATTAGATGGTTTAATATGTGAATAACTTTAGAATTTATATTTCGCAACTAGATATGATGAGAGATTAAATATCTCTGATTTTATTGAATCAGATTATTTGCTTCTGTTTTTCTCCCTAAGCAATTCTTTATCCCTGCAAAGCTGCAAAATGATAAGAAGATTAGTAATCACTGCTCTTACTTACAGTTTTATTTCTCGGAAATTTGCCGTAAAAAAAGCGGAATTATTTGTTTGATTTTATACAAGTGTCTTCTATTATAAATTTAAAGACTGGGCAACTAAAAGAAGTTAAGCTAGCAAACAGCTACAAAACATTAAAGCAGCATTAAAGCTAGCAAACAGCTACAAAAAGCTGCAAAAGAAATCCTTAGTAATTATGGGTACAGCTAAATGGAGGAAGCATTTCACATAATTTAATATATTTATTGGTACAAATGGTTTTATTGCTGGGAGAGTAGATGTTTGTTGATGAACTGGGCTGCCTTTCATTGTTTGGAACGGATAATATCCATGAAGCTTGACTTCTGCTGTTGAAACATCATCACTTGTCGCATCGAATGGTAACAGATGGACGTAGCATCTGTAAAGAAACTTCCTGGGAAATTGTTTTGGAATGGAAAAAGAAAGGGAAAAAAAAAAAAAAGAATTGTTCTGTTTTTGTGACAGTGTATAGCTATACTATCACCAAACAGAACATTAACTATAGAATAGAAGAAATTATCATATGCCAGTGACGGTACATTTGACATGTAATTGAATCAGCGGTAGAACTGCATCTGCGCATCAGAATCTCATTGAAATAGCAGATAGTAATTCTGACAGGTTTAAAAAAAAAACGTCTTAATAGAGCATGAATTACCGGGTTTTGCTGATAACCCAGGATTTAAGCAAACGAAAATTCGACTCAACTGTGGAAGCTTCAGTTTCAGAAACAGTTTACATTGAATATAGATCTCAAGGACAAATAGTAAATTTATGTTTTGTGAGAATTCTGAAAAAAATCCACTGATAACACAGAAATAACCCAATCACGTAATTATTTTTGTTAACCCAGAAGGGCTATTATTCTCGAAACGGTATTTTGCGTTGAATCACTTAAATGCCATGTATCTGTTTTCAAATTTTGCCACCAAATACTGTCGCGCTGCTTTATATTAAAAGAAACTAAATGATGAAGAATCTGAATGATTGAGTTATTTCTCGCATCGTGAAAAAACAATGGTATCTACAGTCTTCAAATTTTAAATAACATAGTCCTCCTCCCGAACATGGGCACCTAAAAGCCTGAATATGTAATCTGCAATTTGCTTTATTGGTTATTTCACATTCTGGTAAACTTAAACGAATTTTCGGTTAAAAACTCAATAATTTCAAAGCGAACAGTGGCAACACTGTAGGGATTAAAGCATTTTTATCACCAGCTCGCGAGACTGTGTATCGTAAATTCTAAAGATATGCTGTTTTCAAATATTTTTAGCCCTAATTCTCTCGAAAGGTGTATGTGTCTGTAAATGAAAATAACGCTCGTTTGGGCATAATATAAAATCTGAAAGCTTTCAAATTTTATTTTATTTTATTTTATTAGTCCAAAGGGGCAATTTGCCCTGAAGGACTATTATTTTCGTTTTGGCATTTTGCGTTGGTTCACTATAAACGTCCGATTCACTTTTCAAATTGTTGCCACCAAATATTATCGCCATATATATTTAAAGAAGTTAAGTAATGAAGAAACTGCATAAATGTATGTATCTTTCTCGCATTGTGATAAAACAACGGTACCTAGAGCCATCCAATTTTGAATAAGGTATGTTTCCACCCGAATATGGGCATCTGGAAGCCAAAATTTGGAATTTGTTTTATTATCTATTTCATATTTTGTAAAATTTAACGAATTTTTAAGTAACAAACTCATCGATTTAAAAGAAGCGAACAATGGCAACAGTCTACCGGGGTAGGGGGAACTTTTTATCTCTAGCACGTGGAACTGTGTATCGGAAATTCTAAAGATAGGCTCATTTAAAAATTATTTTTGCGATATTGCTGCTGAACTGAATTTTATGGTTTAAGTGCGAAGAACATGATGATATTTAATAAATAAAGGTAACACACAAAACGTTAAGAAAACGCCCCTTTGGGCGTAATTTAAAATCTGAATCTTTTCAGATTTTTTAATATTTATTTACTTATTTTTGCCCGGTAATGCACTTTCAAGCAATGCAACTACTACAAAACGGTTAACTGGAAACAAAATTTAATCATCCCTTTTACATGCTTAGATTTGATCTTAGTATACTACTTTAAATTTTTTTAAGACACTATCTTTAGAGCGTTTCAGAATTCATACAAACATATAGAGATAAATTAACGAGTGTTTCAGCACTTTATTTTCACGAAGGCATGTTTTGTAAGCGTACCACTTCATACAGAAGGATAAACAGTGATAAAGATATTTTTCCAAATCCTTGATTTTGAATGAATAATTTTTAAAACTTTGTAGATGCACAATGTATGTTACTTCAAGCAACAGATACAGGAACTAAATGTTTGAATCCTGATACTGTATTCAGTGTTAGATCAGTTATTCAAAAATTTTGGGTTATAATAAAAGAGTTAGCTGACCGTTTATAATGGATTAAAAATAGAAACGGCAACGATTCCAATAAATTATCAAAATTTTGCAGTACATCCTCAGTAAATTTTATCATTCTGTGAAAATAGAAACACCCATCATACGTGGTCCAAAACAGAATTTTTCAAATTTATTTGTGCAATAATAAGAGTTTTTATTTAGTTGCACACCTTTTTTATAAATTACTATTTTTGTAAACACTCATGCCCTTAAATAAGACACTATTAATATTGACGGGGTTTTTCCGACTTCATTCATAGAATATTCATTCAGTAGTTTAAAAGGGGTAACAGTAAAAAACAAAAGTCTGAAAGCTTTCTGATTTTATTTTACGCGCAAAGGGCGTTTTTTTTTTTTTTTTTTTTTTTTTTTTTTTTTTTTTTTTTTTTTAACGTTTTGTGTGTTAACTTTATTTATTAAATACTGTGTCCTTCGCACTTAAACAACGTAAAATTCAATTCAGCAGCAATGTCATAAAATATTTAAAAACAACATATCTTTAGAATTTCCGATAGATATATTTATTTCGATAGATATCCCGCGCCCTGGAGATAACTTTTTTTTCCCCTGTATTGTGTTGCCATTGCTTGCTTTGAAATCGTTCAGTTTGTTAATCAAAAATTCGTTAAAGTTTTACAAAATATAAAAAAGTAATAAAACAAATTCGAAATTCAAAATTTGGGTTTCCAGTTGCCTATGTTCGGGTGAAAGTTTACGTTATTCAAAATTTGATGGCTCTAGTACCGTCGTTTTTTCACAGTGCGAGAAACATACATACATTCATGCAGGTTCTTCATTATTTAATTTCATTAAATATAATACAGGATGAATATTTGGTGGCAACAATATGAAAAGTGATTCAGACCTTCATAGTGATTAAACACAAAATGTTGTTTTGAGACTAATAGCCCTTCTGCGCCCATTTGGGCTAAAAATTTAAAACTTAAGTGTTTAATTAGCGATTATTATCGGTTGGAGCTTTTCTTTTCTTAAACGTCTTAACCTCTGTCCAAGGTTTGTGTCCCAAGAGAAACACGGGCCTGCGTTCAGGGGTTAGAATCAATGTTTAAGGCATATTTGTTATCAAAATAAAATTCGTTTGAGGAAATTATGGTTAACTTACATAAAAGAGGTGCGGAGTCCTTTTATCGGAGACGAGCTCAGGTAGGCTCTGGCGCAATTTAAGCTGTGGATGCAGTGGATGTTCACTGCTGTCTAAAGCTAAAATAGGACTACAAATTACTCAAAACAATACTCATTATTTTAATAACATAAATATGCAAATATAATATAGATGTATAAATGAACTAAATACATACCTTTGCTTCAAAGTGTTAGCGATATTTATTTCTATTCTTTATGCTCATAAATAGTTATTCTAGATCTTTAAAAAGAAGCTACCGAAAAGGCTTCGCTTCAGTTAAGCTCGTACAAACCAGATTCTGTTATATCGAATATTTTTAATTCGTAATAGAAAATATTAATAAGAAAGAAAGAAACATAAGTAAAAAACGACAAACGGAAGTTGTTACCATACATCTAGTATTTATTTAACTTCATGAAATTGGTAATTCAGAAAAAGAATTCTTCATAAAATTGGCAAAAATTTATTATTCTTAGAAAATGAATTGTAGGCACTCCATGAACGAGAATGCAGTGACACAAATCATCACGTTTCCAAGTCGAAGGTTAGTTATCTGTTCATCACATAGAAACAGTACCGATAAAATAGGTTCTTCTCCAACATATGTTTTTTTTTTTTTTTTTTTTTTTTTTTTTTTTTTTTTATGTGAGTAGCGAAAAACAACTCAGAGAAATTTCCCATCTGTTTACTACTTCCATGAAAATATTTATAAATCTAGCAAAAGATAAGATTATTAAATAAAGCCTTCGTCTGCAATAAATCTCATCACAAATTAGAACGCAAGCAAATCAAATTTTCAAGTTTAATCCGGAGGCCATTTAAATTTTCAGTAGGCTATAAAATTTAAATGATATATGAAGTGAATAAATATTATACTGGTAGATATATAGCAAAGAAATTTTGTATGAAACAGACTATATTAACCGCACATACAATGAAGGTAGGACTTAGTGTAGGTCTTACTTCTTATAGAACTTATAACGTTGAACGTCTTTTGTTACTGTAAATGTGACTCAACCTTTTAATAGACTTAAAGTGATTTATCGCTATGTCTAAAATTAAAATTGAGAAAGGTGTAAAAGACTAAACAGACGGCACTCCTGGTGTTTGGCAAAGTCCGCCAGCACTTATGACGAGAAATCAAAGTAGAAATTCAAAAGTAAATCTCATTAAAATATTAATAGCGAAAAGCTACACAGAATAATTTAATCGAGAATTTGGTTCAGACTTTACCAGTGTGATTTTAACTATCGACAAGTAGCAACGCCGAAGACAGAAACTCTTATCTAGAACAGCAAAACTATTAACATGGCCTTCAAAAGACAGAACATGCTCTGACTTAACTATCTCAAATCCTGACTTAAATGCATGCGAACTAATTTTGCATTCCGGCTGGAAAACGGAAAAACTGAAGTAGCAGTAAAGATTCCAAACATAAAATAACTGTTATGTAAATTAAATAACCCCATGTACTACTGCTGTTTTAAGGCCTTTGCTTATCACTACATAGTATAAAACAAAGTCGCTTTCTCTGTCCCTATATCCCTATTGTATGCTTAAATCTTTAAAACTACGCAACGGATTTTGATGCGGTTTTTTTTTTTTTTTTTTTTTAAATAGATAGAGTGATTGAAGAGGAAGGTTTATATGTATAATAACATCCATTAAATAGTGGAGAAATACTGTTATTTTTGAGATTTCTAATGTGATGTCGTAAATAATTAAATTTTTTCCGCTTGCATTGCAAACGCAGGCTGTACCCTACGAAATTTATATCAAAATAATGTACTAAGTATTGTACACACATTGAAAAGGTCTACGGATTTAAAAATTGCGGGACGTAGCGTTTGCGGCGGTACCGGCCCGGCCGGCCGGGGAGGCGGGAGCGTGCCTATAAATAGCGCGTCGGAGGCCGCGGTTCTCTCTCTAGCACTTTGAATTTAGCAGCGATCGGACGCGTTTATTATAGGAGCTCTCTAGCGAGGAAAATAACAATATACTTAATAAAAACGTGCTTTTCAGCGCGACAACGTATCAGTTAGGCAGTCACTGTACTACGCATTCACTAATGACAAGAAAGCTGTGAACGTTGTATATAAAGACATTCTGTAATATATTAATTGTTGTAAAAATAAAATAAATAGGTAAAAAGTAAATAAGTAAAAATGTAGTGTATGAATTTAGATATTCCAAAGATAGCAGGAAATCTTTATTGTATAGGGAAAGGGGAATTGTTTTACTCCAAATTTAACGCGTGCGGGCCACGGGCAGTAATGAATAAATCAAAACTACTGGATCGATTTTAATCATTTTTTCAGTGAGTGACATAGGCTATATATTTTATACACGTGCGAAGCCGGAGCGGGTCGCTAGTATTTAAATATGAGTAATCCTATCAAGCATTTAATAAAGTTTGCGATACGCACTTTGTGCATCAGTGCAAGGAATCCTTATCATTTCCTTCGGTGAAAAATGATTTGGGGATTTTTACCACTTGACCTTTCAGGTAATCATAGTCAATTAACCTTTTTATTAAATCAGAGTTATGACTTCCGCAGCCTTTGTGAGGGCAGGAAATGACTTTCGTGTCCAACTCTGAAACACAGTTGCTTGCAAACCAAGCACCATTTACGATGTTTGGTAACATCGTATTTATTTATTTTATTTATTTATCGTATCGAATTTATTTTATGAAATTTGCAAATGTTTCTTTTTCGCCTTCACAGAAATTGTATAACTCTCAATTTACAGAAATTGTATAACTATTCAGACAGAAATTGTATAACTTATCATAAGTATGATCAGCTGTAGGTGAAATTATCTTTTGCTTGTAAAATATTGTTGTATTTTATGAATAAGTAAATAGGACTGCTCACGAATAGGGAAAATATTGTAACGTGAATTTTAAAAATATAGCTTTTTTTCGTTCAAATATGTAATGTTTGTCTGACAGGATATTAAAAAAGCGTAATTTTTTTAACATTTTAAAAATTATTTTAAAGGGCCATTTTACATTTTTTTAAAGTGTCTTTTTACATCTTTCTCTCCCCTTTGATTATTTAGCACTTATTTTGTCTTATTTTTTCAAATGCCGATCATTTTTTTCCCACAAGCCTCGTTATACCGATCTTTTTTTCCCACAAGCCTCGTTATACCGATCGTATTTTTCCCACGAGGCTCGAAGTCTTATTCATTGCACAAAATCTTCGTATTAACCATGTAGAGATTATTTATACATTACGTATTTTACTTCGGAGCTGGAGACGTGAAAAATATGCAGTGTCTTTTCCAGTATTCGAACTCGGGACCTTCCGATGTGTACCAATTACACTACGAAGGCACGTAACTTACTTAAGAACCATGACCACTTTCTTCGATCTATGCACCGTCCTCAGAAAATAAACAGCTGTTTTCCCCTTCACATATCTCCTCGTGGAATCTCATTTTAGGCACGTTTTAAAGGAAGATTCTAATTTTGGATCTTTTTCATGGATTGCATTCAAGCGCGGCTACTCATTAAAAGCTTGCATAATAAAAAGTTATTCAAATATTCAAACTAGTGTTCCTTTTTCAAGAGAATGGTTATAGTCCTTTTTTCGGGATATATAAACATATTGAGGCAAATGCTTATTCACTAATTCAATGATTCTTACTTGAAGCTATGAGCGGAAAGGAAAGTATACTGCACGGAAAAGTGAGACTTGTGATGAATAATGAAGGAAGCTGCATGCTTTTGACTTTTCAACGGTTGGAGTTTATGTACCCGACGTCAACCATGTGACTTGTTTTGCACGTGTGTTTGCGACGGTATCAAGGAGAAATACAGTATGGTAAATGACTTCATTGCTACTAGGAAGCTAATTCTTATAATGTCTTCCAGTCGTTATGTTTTTTTACCTACGAAGTCAGCAGATTACACCTACCAAAATTTTCCATCATAACCAGAAGGGTGCTTATATGAGAGAAGCAGTTTTCTTATGCGGAAACTTCAACAATATCTGCTTTTCAACAAACGCAGCAAAAAAGGAAGCATGTCACAAAGACCAAGAGTAAGAACTTTTTAGAGTACACCTTTACAAGTATTTGCGTAATGTGATTTATAGTTTGAAATTAAATATGGAAAAACATGAGTAATCGAAGTTACTCCTGAAGTTAACAGTTGTGATAGAACAGCTGTGGCGTGAAACGTCTAAACTATTAAACAATAACAAATCTAATAAATAGCCTTGAGGGATTCCTGCTTTATTATTAGCAATGGATAACTCGAAACAATGTAGGCATTTAAGTTTTGATGTTAAAGTATCTGTCGATTGCGCTAATCATCTGCGGTGCCTAATTGAGTTTTTATTGCTCATTTGTTAAACCATATCTTTTTAAAAGCCTTTTTGGGGACTATAAGTGAACTAAGATATATTATCGAATTTAAATAACCAAAGAACCAACATGAAACAATCATAAAATATGAGTTAAAACATCAGGCCATGTCTTATCAAATGTTTTCTGAAGGACAAAATGCGCGAAGACCAGATTAACTAATGATCATAGTATGCGAAAATAAACTGTGAGCGCTTTAGACTAAAGGGATTCTTAAAGCTTTGTTCAGATTGTTTTGTCATAATTGGCTTAAACCGATTTTGTTGCTAGGCAACCAGACGTCACAAAGATGTGGCTAGACGTCACAAAAACGGTTTAAGGATTTTGCTTAAAAGTTGTAACTTTACAACTTTATGTCAAGTTGGCATAAGAATCACCAATCACAGCGATGCAGTCGATGGTTTCGCTGAGTCAGATATTTACTGATGCCCAACTTTCCTCTGCTTGATTGGCAATAGCTTAAACCCTGCAAAACATATGTAAATGGACTTTATGACATTTATGCCTTAAACCACAAAGCTTTCTGACAACAAAAACATCACCTGAACGAGCCGTTCATACAGAAGTTTATCAGAGTTAACAGAGTGTCGACTAGCTCCGTTATACGTAAAGTTCACACTTTCTACCTGAAAAAAAAATTTTTTTTTTTCAACAGCGTGGAGCAATGCTGTGTCAGATGTCTCCGTTGGCTCAGATAAACCCTAATATGAACGGTTCTTGAAATGGAGGGCTGTGCTTTGCTAACTAACAAGAATGTAGCACGTTCGACCTTAAGATCCTCACTTCTAGAATTTTAATCTTAGCTTTTCTGAAGACGTTTTCGCAATATTGCTAATCAAACAAAATATTTAAAGATGTATTAGACTGATGATTTCCAAAACTGATGACGCATTTTCTTTTTTGTAAAAAACTTTAATTTAGCAAAATTTGGCAAATATAAAATAGGAAAATTTTGATGATTATATGCATAAATGACGAGGCATTTTATTATCTGCATTTAAGAATTATAACTTAGCTAAGAGTTTCAAAAACTATTTAGGCAGATTTTAATTTTAAAAAAGAACTGAAAATACAATTTAGATAAAATTAGTTAAATAACCTCTGATTGCAGAGGCGGATTTATATGATGACGCAAGTCGCAATAGGAGGAAGCTCCTTCCAAGAAGCTCCACATAATTTATCGGATTTAAAGAAAATCAATATAAAACCGTTAAAACACAAAAAAGATAA